AGAGCCTCGGCGCGGGGAGGCTCATGCTGGGGGAGATGGGAGGCCCTGGTTTCGTTGCGTCAACTCCCCTCCCCCCCGGAGTGGGTGGTGGTGCGAGGTGGCTGGTGCTGCATCGCGACGGCAGCGCCTCGGCCCTGAGCCGGGGCGGGGGCCGTGGACTTTGACGGTAAAAGTAAAGGAGCTGTGTAGAAACCGGTGCACCGAGTACGGAGCTCCCTTCTGAGAAAAAAAAAAGTGCCTTTTTTTGGCATGGCTCTAACCGTTCTGAAATTCAGAAGTCAGCAGGTAAATGCAGTGTATCGATGATGTAAGTCATCTGTTAGCATATATAATAAGAAGTACTTGTGACTCAGCTTGTTGGCAGCTTGCAGGAGACAGATTTTTGGCAGCAGAAATATGTAAATTGGGGATGCATCAGAAGCCATACATAATGTGTTTGAGATCCTTGTCTTCTTTGCAGAATTAAATAAACAAAAAAAATCAATCCTGTATGCTAGTTAAACCAGTGTTAGTTCAGAGTTTCATTTTTACAGACTTCATATGTAGTACTGTCTTAGTGTTTGATCTACCCGACCAAATGTACAATTTCAAAGGATACGGTTGTCAGTTTCTCCCCTTGGGTCCCGAGTTAGGGTTCCTAATGTTTCCGCTTTTGCTGATACACAAAATACATGCAGGTCTACCACCAGTTAGCTAAGAGAGCATAAGCTGTTGACAAGGCTCTGATTTATAGAAAAGGATAATCAAAACCTATCAGGCTCATTTCTAAATATATTTTAAAGGCCTTATTGAAAACGAGCAACTCATTGAAAGCTGGTGCACATATTATTTGTATTTTTAGATCATTTATCCTCACTTGACATGATCATAATAAGTTTATAAAGGTCTAGAACTTTTGGAAGACCGATACTGTTCTTAGACAGCAGAGTATTCTGGTAATATGTCTGTAATCTGACTTGCCTAATTCTGTTTTCATTTTTATTAGTGGGTACTGCTGACTTTGGTAGTTATTTTCTAAAGCCTTAGGTTTTAGCACAGTTATTCTTGGATTTCTTTGAAACTTTCCCTCCAGGACATCACTTCAAAATGACTTGATGGTTTCTGGATTAGGAGGAAGAGAGGGTGGGCTGAAACTTAAGAATGTGTAAACCCATGCTAATTGGCAGTTGCATTTATTTTGGCAGAAGTGTTTTTACCACTTTTATGTATGGAGAATGCAGCATCATATTGGTTTGCCGATTCTGGTTTTGCTAAAGTCAAGTACTCGGTGTGCATTCTCCAACGTGTTTGTCAGTGTTGCCATTTTGACTGCATTAGTGCCAATCATGTTCACGAATAGCTGTTAGGTACTTGATATCATAGGATGAAGGGGTCCGGTCCTTGTTGTTTGGGAGCAAACAAATAAATTGGTGTCTAGTCAGAATGCAAGTATGTAAGCACATCTGACTGATCTGGAGAAAGCTATGGGAAGCTTTCAAAAAGCCCTTTTGGAAGGGCTGACCTTAAAGTAATTTGTAGCAGTAGACTAACTGGTAGCTCTTTCTGTATGAGAGTGAGATACCTCCCTTTGACCCTTAGACAAGCTGCTGAATCTACCAGTCTTTCAGAGGATAATACCTTTTATTAGACTCCCTCGATTCTAGGTAACTTTTGAAGATTCAAGTGCATAAAGCTATAGTGAAACTTATGTTTGATGGAGTTCAGCCTCAGCAAGACACTCCTATGTGGCTGGAAAGATATACAGAGGAGTTCCTGTGCTTTAATGCACTGTGTGCAGGTTGAGCATGTATTTAAATAAGTAACATAGCTGTTTTTAAAGGATTTTGAGCTCTAATCTGTTGGGGTTTGTTTTAGAGTGGGTTTCAGTGTATTAGTTCTTCTGTTTAATTACTGATATTTTCACCCAAGTTTACATCAGGGGCTTAGAAAAGGTGGCAAATGTGGGTTTTTTGTTTGTTTGGGGTTTTTGTTGTGTTTCAGTTTGGTGGGGTTTTTTGTTGTTTTCCTTTAAAAGAAACAACAACCCAACCCTGTCTAGCACAGTTTAAACGAAGCCAAAGATGTAGTTGGTATAACTAACCAATGTTCTGATTGCACTGGAGTAGTCTGGCTTTGCTCTTCATTTGATATCTTTTCTATCTGTCTGGTTTTTTCTGCCTGTTCACCTTCATAGTTCAAAGTTGTTACTTCATATCTCTTGTCTCTAAATACCCTTTTTTGGATGCCTGCCAAGCCACATAGTTCTTTTCTGCCTTCTTTCTTGAGCATATTGTGCACCTGCTGTTTTACTCTGGTTTTTTTGAGATTTCCTTTTTCCTTCTCAATTGTTAGCTTTGGATATGTAGGCCAGCCCTTCTTCTCTGTATCATATCCCGGAAAATACATACAGGTCGTCTACTTCTTGGTAGGCTTTTTCTCCAGAAAGTCTCTACTACTTCCCCACTGCATTGTAAGAGAACCCAGAAAATAAATTTGAAAAAGCATTGAGAGTGTTGGGTTAGGACTAAAGAACTGCTTTTTAGCCTGGAAGGGAGGATCCGCCATGGATTCCTGGAATCAAAGCTCAGTGCAAGGTAATACTAGACACTTATGTCCTGGATGTTATGAAAAACTGCATTACTTTGTGAAGGAAATCACAACATGACAGGGGTAATAATGTTTAAATGCTAGATTTATGGCAGTTATATAGCATGCTACAAGTAAAACAACTTTTTAAATCAATGCTACCTCATCCCTTTACTGCTAGCCCTTTGCTTTGGATTATATATGGTTTTGAAAGTTTTCTTTAATAGTGAGACAGACAAGTTTTTTCAGTACAGCTGATTTGCATTTCCATTTTGCAAGTTAACCAGATGTTTCAGTACTTTTTTCAGTACTTCCTCTTATAGGTGGAGGAATAAATAATAGGGGAAAAATGTATTGCAGAAGGGAAATTTGAAAACTTATTAATGAACATGCTGATAATGAAGCAGATACAGAAAGTTATTCATACTAAAAGGATGATTAAGAGCATAGAAGAGCATAGAATGGTTTTGGTTGGAAAAGACCTTTAAGATCGTAGAGCATAGGCATCGATCCAGCCCTAAGTCCTTCACTAGACCATGTCCCTAAGCACGACATCTGCTTGTCTTTTAAAAACCTCCAGGGATGGTGATTTAAGCACCTTCCTGGGCAGCCTATTCCAGTGCTTGACAACCCTTGCAGTAAGGAAATTCCTCCTCATATCCAACCTAAACCTCCCATGGTGCAACTTGAGGTCATTACCCCCTGTCCTGTCACGAGTACAAGTCTAGTTATGAGGGAGAAGAGACCGATACCCACCTTGCTACAACCTCCTTTCAGGTAGTTATAGAGGACAATGAGGTCTCCCCTTGGTCTTTTTTCCTCTATTAGAACATCTCTAAGTTGTAGAAAATGAAACATGTATGCTTATCTAAGTTAGATGATAAATTTACCTTTCTCTTGATAGAGGTGGCCTCAGCAACATGTTGTTTCAGTGCTCGCTACCAGATACCATTGAGACGGTTGCAGATGAACCACGGAAAGTTCTCCTGCGCTTATATGGTGCAATCCTACAGATGGTGAGTATGTAGAGTGCTTTGGGAGTGGGAGGGTTTCTGTAGCTTAATTGTAATTTGTTTGGAGGTCTTCATTTGTGACACACTGCAAATGTGTGCTGCTTTATCCTTTTGGGAATGTGGTAGTGGTAGTGGGTAGATTGCTAGCTTAAAGCAGGTTTCCTTATAGTTTGTTATTGTCTAGAACTTACACTACTTTCTATACAGATCCTGACTGGCGTGTATCAGCTGAAGGCTCATTTGCTGTCCATTTGATCAGTAATGTTTTGTTAATGGTGTTAAGTTTGGACTGTGGTGTTTCAGAAAAGTTATTAAAGTTTGCTTTTGTACAGTATGTAGGACTTTGGCATAACTAGCAAGACTGCAAGAGGCTAAACCACATAATTTTAATCATGGCAGTGCTTATGAATCTTGGAGAGATTAAAGTTGAAATTTTTGTCAAACTTGTACAATGCTCAAGCATTTATTAGAGATCTCATGGGTAATTTTGTGGCTGGAAAGTTTGATCTATAGTATTAGAATGAAAATGAAGCACAAACATCAATACTGTACAGCCATCTCATTCCAAAACATGCGTTCCTAAATGTGTGATATGCCTTGTAGCTGGCATAGAAGCTTAACTAGATGTTTGTCAGACTCTTATGTTACTTTTATTTGGTTAGTGAAATGTAAATAGCATTGAAATTTGTCAGACCTTAAGAGAAGTGGTTGGCAAATCTGTTTCAAATTGTAAGGTTTAAAATCAAGAATATTTTGTAAAGGTGATCTCCTCTAAAGCTTACAGGCTGTTACCATAGGAGTATACAGCAGATCTTCTCTTACCCATTTCTGCTAGACACTTGAAAATATTGTAAATAAATAATATAAGTGTTTAACCTTACGAAAAAATTGCAGCTTCATAAAATTACATTTGGATGTTGGCATTTGTTTCTACTTAACTTGGAGGGTCTGTTTTTTTACCCATTAATGTGACATTTTACAGTACTCAGTCACTTGCTTTGAATAACTGATCCAGTATCTACAGGAGATTTACTGTCCCTGAAATTTCAGCCCATTCTTCCTGCTTTTGCTCCCTTATCAAATTTACTATTAAAAATCTCATTGAATGCTGTCACTTGACTGGCTTTGAAGTGTTCTTTTATGTATGTAAGGTATTAAATTTCCCATGGTAGCAAACTTTACCAGAAATATGCACAAGATTCCAGTGGCTTGAAATAGCATGAAACACTTGGCTACACCTCTGTGTGCGTGTTGGGAAAGTTAAACTGTTAAACAAGAAATTGTGCGGAAGTTCGTTAATTCAAGCTTAAACAATCTTTCCTTTAGTTTAAGAGAAACCAAAAGCAAAGTGAAAAAAATGGCAGTGAGAAACTTTTCAAAATTACTCCTACGCTTGATGCTAAGAATATTTTTCGTAATTATTAATGGCTTTAATGTAATGCTGGCTTAATATGTAGATGGCTTGAGTAGGAACGTGGGCTGTAAAACTTCTATAGTGGTAGAACTTCTGTTGCCCAAGAAGAAACGTGGCCTTTCCCCTATTTCGAAGGAAAAGTAGACTACAATTTGGTTGCCCTCCTCTTCCCTCAGGGTTTTTTTTTTTAACTTGCCTTTTCTGTACCCCTGTCCACTGAAGAAATCAAAATAAAATTGTGGGCTCTAAAATCAGAACTAATTTGGTTTGAAAATTGAAAACATGTTCGTTAACTTTCTAACCTTTCTACTCTTGGTGTTGAAGGATCTTTTGAGATGTCTAACTTCCTTTATTTCCGTAGTGGCAGTGAAATGACTGCTCTTGTTGGTGCAGTTCACTAAAGGTTAAGTAAGCAGAGAAAGTCCCAAGGTAAAACTTTCAGATTGCATTGAGGTTCACAATTTTTGTCGGCAAACATTTGTCTCTTCCAGCCCCTCTAGATTAAATGCAAGTTAAAATATAAGCAAACTGTTTCTTGGGGTATTTTGAAAAACGTCGCTTAGGATTCTTATGAATTATTGGGTGGCATAAGCAGAATCTTATGACAAGCCTGTTAAGAGGGAGTAGCTTGACATTTTTTAGTCATGTTGCTTGAGTTTAAAGCCCTGTAGAAATTAAGGGACACTGCTTTAAGTAAGTTGAGTTTGGACACGTTATGCTAAAATCATGACTTAATTCTCAATGACTTAATTGTAACTGCCACTGGGTATTAGTAGTTACCATTTGTTTGTTTGAGCCTTTGTAGCATGTTTTAACTCTTGTCCATTTTACTTTCTGTTGAAATTGGAGCACAAAACAGTGATAATACTAGTTCTTCTTATTCCTTTATTGTAAATACTGTAGCACCAAATTGTTGTACATACAGAAGACAAGTTTACGTTAAAATTTTGAATAGAAGTGAAAAATGGATACCTGATACTAACTTAAGAATGAATGATACTGGTACCATAATTCTTTGAGCCACCTTCTAAAGGAATTTTTTTTTTTGCAGTTTGAAAAGAGCCCCAGTTTGCTTATTATGAATCTTGGAAGACACAAATGTCAGTACATGAAACTCATCCAATATAAACCATGCCAGTTGGCTAAAGCTGCCACACAGGGAAGGCTTTGTGCCTTCTTCTGTCATAGCTGATATGTTTAAGCCAATTTTTTGTGTGCATGACTGTTTTGGGGGGAGTTGGGGGGAAAAGGAATTAAACTGGCTTGGCCATTATTATGAATGGTTGCACTGGCATGGATGTTTTAAAAAATCAAGGACTTCTCTTGAGTATATCCTTGAGCAGAACTTTTTTTTACGGCAAGTATTTGTGCTTGTGACAGGTTAAAGTACTAACCACATTAAAACTCAAATGTTTGAGGCACAATGCAGATATGTTCTACTTGAAAAAAGGGAATGTCTTACTCTGCTTCACTTATTCTGGCTCCAGCTTAGCTGCTAAATTTAAAGGGCAGCATTGAAAGTAATACTTCCTCATGACAAAATGTCTTTTAACTGTTGGCTATATGAGTGTTAAAACAGCTCAAACAAAAAGTTGTCCAGCAATATGCCTTTTAATCTCTAGACTTTAAGATTGGATTTCATATGCAGATCACTAGTATTTCTACTGAAATTCAGAACAACCAGAACTTCACATCTTAGAAATGCCGATAGGACTTCATTATAAGCTAGCATCAACAACAACGAAAAAGCAGCTCAAATTAAGATGAATTTCTTTGAAGTTCACCCTATCAAAAGGTAACGTGGGGATTGATTCCCATTTTTTTACACATGTCAAAAGAACCTTGAACTCTGATTCACTGGGACTCTGTTACTTTGCAACAGCCAGACCAAAATCTTGTATATAAATGAGGAAAACCAAACCAATATACCTAGTGTACCTCTCTGATCTCTCAATTTTATGTGAGCAGATGCGAAAGAAGTATAAATGGTTGCCACAGTTCTGTGGTCAATCTTTTTTCATACCTGCCTTGCTGCCTTTTATTTTTTGTAACTAAATAAAATACAGACTGCTGTGTAACTGTAATTATCAACGTCTTCTGTGGTTGTTGGTGTCCATGTCTGTTTGTAGCATGGAGTAACTACAAATCCCTGGCACTGGCAGACGGCTTGAAAGAAACCAAGCACCTCTTACGGGGGTATATTTGTGTTGGGTGGAGTTAAGGGTATTCTGGGGGTGATGTACCACTTTAGTTGTATATGCATGTGTTCTCTGCTGCAGGCTTGCCCATGCGATCGTGCCTAGAGCACTCTGGTTTCCAGGTGACAGACACGATTCACGGTATAGTATGAGATCTCTGAAGTTGGAGCATTCTCTACGGCTTTCATTTTCTTTAGTACTGGATTTCATGGCTTAAAAAATAAGGCTTTAGAAGCACCAGCCACTGTCTGTGCATCTGAATGTTTACAATAATAACAAAATACCAAAGTACTGCCCCTTCCTTTCCTCTGCTCCCTCATAAGAGAATGGTAACTTGAAATGAAGAGGATTAGAGATGTCTCTGTGGCTTTTGCAGGGCTTGAACTGGGAATTCTTCTTCACATGCTAGATTCTAAGGCTTCAGCAAATTAGTATCAGCTCCTTCACGTCTGGCAAGGATCACTGATCAAAAGCAGACTCTTAGAAGCAGAAATAGTTATTGCTGAATCTAAAACTGTTTATGTTCCCATACCCTGAAGTTCAAATCTGTGTCTTCCAACAGCTTCTGCAATTAAGAAAAGTTTTCCCTGCATAGATTGCTTCTAACCTCTCAGGCAGTTCCTTGTAATGTTGTGATTCTTTGGGGTTTTAATTCCTAGGGATTTGTCTCAATTAAAGTACTGCAGTATTTTGAAATCTTAAACTACTAAAACTGAGTAAACTCACACAAATTTAGTTGTAATGTAAGATTTGAATTTGTGGGCAGAGCTATGAGTTATCTGGGGAAAAAAGAGCTGCAAGTTTCTCGTCTATACAGAATTCTCCTGCCAAGCATCATCTTGAATTTTCAATACAGAGCTTATCTTCCAGCTATAAGAGAAATTATTTTAGGGTATTAGGGAGAAAATTACGAACTATTCAGTTTTGTGTCAAACTGCCAGATATATAAACACTGTCTGGTTTTCTTCTGGTCACAGATCAGATAATGCGGCATGTCTCCCATCTAGGACTTTGTCGTGGTTTAGGACTGAGCTGGCCACTAAATCTTGGACAGATGCTCTCTATTAACCTTTCTCCCCTCCCCAGAAGGGAAGAGAAAAGAGAATAAGGGAGAGAGATTTATGGGTTGGAAAATAAAACAGATTTTATAACACAATAATCCTAATACTACAGGATAATATTGTAAATAGGAAAATAATGAAATATACACAAATATGTACAAATATATACAAAACCAATAGAAAATCCTCCCCCCAATGATGAATACGTCACCAGAGGCTCTGCAGAGCAGGGCACTGGAAAAGTCCCAGACCAAACTCAGCAGCAGTGGGAGCAGGATGCAGAACACACGAATCAGGACTGGAGGCAGACGAACCAGCAGGTTCTGCTCGGACTTTGGCCATTGCAGGATCACCACACGGACAGAAGGGTCTGAGCTGGAAGGGCTCCAAGATGGAAGAAGGGCTGAGACCCTCATGATCCCTTGGCGTTATACCGAGTATGACGTGTGTGGGATGGAATACCTCCTTGGTCAGTTTTGGGTCTGCTCTCCCCCGTAGGCGCAGACACAGCACCCATGGTGAGACAGCTGGTCTTGAGATATCACTTGTAGCAGCACATACTGGAAAAACATGCTGCTGGTTTTCAGCAAGTTCAACCACTTAGAAGAGACTGAGCTGAAAAGTAGAATCACTAAATAGAAAATTAGTTCTATTTAGCTCAAACCAAGACAGACTTTCATCTTGCACCTGAAGCTTCCTGCCTTAAAATCAGTTTGTGTTCACAAAGTAGACTCCATAAAAACTTCTGTTGTCTCTGTGCATACAGCTGTCCTCCCTTACTAAAGTTGTAGTGAACTTTCTTAATCTGCTTTGAGAATAAACCTTCCTGAAAAAAAACTCACAAGAAACCCCATCAAACCAACCACAAAACAAAAAATGTACCAACAGAAAATCCAAAACTAAACAAAAAAAGCCCCAAAAAACAACAACAAAAAAACCCACCCCACAAGCTAACAAACCACTGAACAATATCTGAAGAAATCTTAAAATATGTAGAACTCGGGTCCATTTCTAGTTAATCTTTCCATATAGAGAGTGTTTAAAAACCTCTGGGAGTTAGTCATTCTCTTATTTGGGTAAATAAAATCTCCTCATTGCTGTTGAAGTAAATAGCTCCCAGAATTGGACTTAAGTGGGAGTGAGCTATGAGAGTTTATGGAAAAACTGAAATTTTGATTGGATTTTGATTGGTTAGGCAAGAACACATGAGCTAAATATGTAGATCAAATACTTCATGGTATAGGATGTTTCACTTTGAGCTACAGTTCGCATAGGTGATTTTACAGTCAGAAAACAATCAAATCCTACCACTTTAACATCTGTTAAACTCTTAACTTCTGTTATATAAAATTGCGCCCTGCTTACTAAATTCTCCTCGACCACATGCAGTGGAGACTTTCCTAATTCTAGGCTGAGTATGAGGCCACTGATGAAGACTGATCCTCTCCAAGCTCCCATTCGTATTTGCCAGTTAGTTATGAATTACTTTGTATTCATTCTCCTCTGGACACTAACGCTCTATGCTGAGGGAACAGAAAAGAGGAAGGGGTGCTGCAGAAGTCTCCTTTTCTGATGACTCTGCAGTACACATCCCTAACTGTCTCTTTCTAATGGCACAGTAGATGCCATTAGGCTATCTCCAACACTAATTTGAGGTGTACTCTTAGAACTGGCTAGCTCTTTATACAGTATGACTCCTGGAAAGTGGATGCCAGTTCAGGTTCTAGGGAAAAGCCTAATCTGCTTACCTTCTGATGAACTGAACCGTTCTGAGAGCACCATTAATCAGGAAAGACTCCTGGATGGTGAGTAACTTTCTGACTGTTCAAGAAAAATCTAAAATGCAAGAGTGGTTTTGATGTAGGACATGCTTGTTCAGAGAAGCCCTCTGTAAGTTACTATTGAGTAGTTTTAGCTTTAGTGAATATGTTTTGACTTTATTAATTTCATTGAAAGGAATATAAACGTATAATAGTTTTCATATTGTCTTGTTTTAAACTCATTATCCTAGTGGAATGGGAAGTACTTGCTGAAAGACCATCGATTCATGTTAACTATACTTCTTCTATAGCTTCTGAAATACTGTAACTGCATAGCTTGTATAAATCATTAGCTTGTTTTATTGTACTTAAGGCAGCTGCTCTTGCTTAACTGTATTCCATTAAGTTCATATTTCCACCCATGTTTTGGACATGTTAGAGCTTTGGAACAGAAAGGTATGCACATGGTTCTATGAATCAAATGTTTTTGTTGAGGAGGTGGAGATGCAGGCTACCTTTATGGGCCTCTAAAGTTAGTCTGGTTTAAACAGTCGGGGTGGAATTGCAACATAAATAGCAGCCACAAACTATTGCTAGTTCTGAGCAAATATTTGCTTTCTTTTCTCCTTACCTTCAAGCCCTTTAAAGGACAAGGGTTTTATTACATCTTGAAGTTTAAATGTGCAGCTCTATTAAAAGCATGTGCCATTGAGGGTTCATTTGCTGAGGGTATGGTTTGATACTCTGGACCTGCATTATAACGAGTATTAACAATCCTAGCACAGTACGTTATGCGTGGAATTCATTAAAGTTTTGCTAACTGCAGTTCTTACTGAGATATCTTTAGCTTACATGGGCAGTTTGAAGAAAAATCTTGGGTTTGCACAGCCAGTGGTATGTTATACATATAGCCTAGACAGCACACTGTAAGTAAGGAAATTCTAGGCACGAGAAATTAGGAAAATAAGGTAATAGAAACAAGCCAGTGCTTTGCAAGCTTCATAACATGCCTCTTCTAATAGTCCTAAGGCTTTTATGTAATCTCTGTAGTGTGTCTCAAGTGCTTTACCTGCAAGAAGAATATAATCTCAGATGTCTTGCAGAGGAACTTAATGTTCTCTGAATTACAGATATTCCTCTAAGCTTATGATATATTGAAATCTATTTTGAAATAGTGAAAACCAAGAAAAACATACCTAAAAATCACCTCTCAGTCTATTTACAGGAGTGGCTTGGCCTCAGTGGCACATCCTTTTCAAAGATTTTGAATTGTTGAAATAGTGTGATGGTCAGAGGTCAGCTGGATACTAGTGCTGTAGCTGTCACAGATCAAGACAGTGTTGAGACACCTAGTTAATTGTAGCTGGCACTTCTACTCCCGTTGTTCTGGTGGTTACAGGTTAATAATGTTAAATTTCATCTTCTCATTTTGTTTGCTTTTTCTCATTCATAGAGGTCCTGTAATAAAGGAGAGTCTGTACAGTCTCAGAAGGAAAATGAATTGCAAGTGAGTAATTAAATCTGTTTATTTCACAGAACTTTATAGATGATAGAGAAATACTGCAATCCTGCTTTTCCTAAACCAGTAGTTATTCCACGTGGTGGCTGGGCTGTGTTTCTAGAAACCATAAACAGAAATCTGTTTGCTCATAGAAGTAAGTGTGAGTGTTTATGCATAGTTTGGAAGGATTTAAGCATTCCACATTAATAAGAAACAGCAACAAATTACACTCTAAATGGTTTCTTACCATTTCTAACATTGGTATCTTTACCACTATTTCTAATACTAGGCTCTACTCCCTTTAGTAAAGGAAGATCAATACTGTGCTTTGTCTAATCTCTGTTTTATAATACATTGATTAACTCTTCTGAGGAAAGTATATGGAGCTGGAGAGAATTGCCTCTTGCACATTGTTTCTGGTTAACACTGTGCTTGGATCATCTGTGTCCTGCAAACATTAAAGTTCTTGCATTTGGAACATTTCTGCTCGCCCAGCATCATATTTAGCTGAGTGTAATTTTTCATAAAGTCATCTGAACAGAATTTGGTAGTTTAGATTTCTACATTGGCAATATTTGTGTGTTTTCAGTAAGGGATAACATGGCAGCATGTTAGCCAAATGCTTTGCTTGTTATGTATTGGCAGTGATTGGGGAGAAGTACATTTTACTCATTTGGTAAGTGCTGCTTTTCCCCCCTTGTATTTTATGCCTTCTTGATATGCCATCTGAAACAGTTTAAGGATTTGTTGTTGTTTTTTTCTAATGAGTTGAAGCTGTTTTTAGAATTTTTGTTGTTGAGTGACTGCTTTTGAAGTCTTGTTGAACTTTCAGTTAAGCTTACTGGAGCAACTTCAATCAGTTGAACAAAGACTGAATTGAAACACGTACTGGTTTGATTCCTCAGTTTTTTCCAGCGATGAAAAGTGGAGGTGGCTTGATTTCTCCTCTGCCCCAATCCAGTAAAAATGGTTCCTAAAGTTATAAAAGAAAACAAAAATCCAAACAAGCCCCACCCTAGGGCCAGCAGGTCATAGAAGTTTTGCAGTACAGGATGCAGCAAGGCTTCAAAACTCTTAGTTTCTGAAAACAGTGATTCTATGGTGGTAAGTTACTGTTTTCTGCTCTTTATCTCATAGTGCTGAGCTTCACTGTTGGATCAGTGTACTCAAGAATTCCAGTCAGGATGGATTTGTTAATTTTCTTGAGCCTAGGTAAAAATTGTAGGTAGGTTTGATCAGAAGAGTTAATGTCATCCTTTGGAGAGAAGAAAAACCTCTTGGAAATCACCAAATGTTCTGGATCACTGGCAAAAGCATTGCAGCTGTTCAGAGCTGCCTGGTGTTTGACAACTCTAACTAGAGATAGGATAGTCTTCTGACAGCTCATAATGTCTTTTAAGAGGGATTATCTATGTTTTACCTTGGTTTTGATGTAACTAGTGGTCATTTTCCTCAAAATACTACTATTTCATGTATTTTACAGTGACCATTGTGTTGAAGCAAGACTAAAGCAGAAGCTTCAGTTCCTACTGAAGCATAGAAAGGCTTTTGATCTCTCCTTGCCTGAATGCGAGTTGCATACTGGAAAAGTCTGTAGAGAGTTTTTTTAATTCTTAGGCTTGAAATGCAACGTTGAGCTCTGAGTATTCATTTAGAAGTGTGAGTTTTCAAAACTTCTCCAGAAGCGTGTTTTAAATGCAAGTGGTCATGGTGACACCAGTTTGAAGCTGATTAAAATTGAGAACTTCAGAGCTTTAAAACAGGTTGTTGTTTTGGCAATATAAATCTGTTGCAAAGTACTTGAAGTCACTGATTTACTTAGTTAACAATGATTGGTCCTTTAAAAAAGTCATCAAGGGAACATTTAACTGAAAAGTTAAGATACTTAGATTTGTTTAGTGTCCATATGAAGTATGCTATAGAATTTTCTTAAGTCCTTTTAGTGTGTGGAGTAGAGACCTGGTAAAAGGTCCATCAGGTGTTATGAAGGAGAAGCCTTTGTGCCTAAGATACATAGATTATTCCAGAGCTCTCATTGGACTTGTTCTCAAGTGACCATTCTGTTACAGTAGAGGAAGTTCTTTTGGGGCTCTAAACTTTTTTTGACTTCTGGGAGTAAGGCCCGGGAGCATTCAAACTTGAATATTCTTGTAGTGCTGCTTTTAGATATGTGCCTGTACTTTTTGATCCTGAAGCAGATCTTTCATGAAGAGATGCAGCCATCCTTGTTAACACTGCTGACACAGAAGTTTATAAACTTGCAATTGTGTAGTTGTGAATCATCTGAAGGTTCTAAATTTTTAAGCATGTCTTAAAGGACTGGGGCTAGGCAGACATGTGGAGGAGTAACCCAGAAGTGCACTGTTGAGTAATTTCACTATTTCTGTTTGTCACTTCTGATGCATTAAAGGGCATCTTAAAGAAGAACATGCATGTGGTATGTGGAAAAACATGACCCCTTTAAGCTCTGCTAATGAAACAACTTCAAGTTTTCATCTCTAAGTGAAGGACCATAGAAAAAAGCAATGATTGTAAACTGTTTTGGAGCTTACTTTTGTTAATGGATCCTAAATTTTCTTTGACATTTCTTAAGATGAAGTTACCAAGCTAGGTTGTTTCAAGGAATCTTAAGAGAATGCAGTCAGGAAAAGAAAAACAGATTATTTTTTTTTCCTCCCTTTCTGTGGAAAGTGGATCATGTTAATAGGATATTTTCAGAGATTAAGAACAATTGAGTGATTTTAGTTCTGTAGGGCGTTGTTTCTTTTCCTTGGCTCTTGCTGTTACACAAGTATCATGAGTTGGTTTTCCAGTAAGATGTGAAGACAAGGAACTGACATGTTAATGGGAGCAGTCAATAGGACCACTGTAATCAGACTTTTAAAACACACTGGTGTTTCACCAGGCACAGACAAACTCAACATTGGTTAATAATAGAGTAGACATTCTGTAACTTCTATCTAATTTGTTTTTTGGTATTTGGCATTAGGCTTCACAACTGAACTGAAAAGTTCAGATCTGTGGTGGTGAGAGCATGTGAAATGATTAAAAGTTTATGGTTTTGGTGCATTAGTTCTGCTTCGAGGATTTGAGGTGGAAAAAGTGGAGGATATGGATGCAATACATTCATAGGCAAATGGTCTTAAACTCTCAGTTGTTATTCTTGATGACTCTTTTTATTGAAGACACTTCAATACACTTCAATATGAAATGCTATAATTTCTTAAGAAGGTGCCAGAATGATAAGATGTGGGCCACTAATGAAAAAATTTATTGATGGAACTGTCTGGAGCGTACTCAAGTGGAATTTGAGTGGGAAGAGTTATTTACTGTCTAAACTGCAGTGTCTGCGCTAACACAAAAGGCACTGCAGTCCAAAATGTCTGAGAGCTTTCTTAATTTTTTGCTCCTCATTATAATGCATTTAAGTGTCATGAGTCAGACTTTGGAGATGAGTGGCTCAAAAATTGAGAGAAACTTAGCAGGCCTCTAGGGTTTGACTACAGCTGGATTCCGGTTGACATGATACCTAGAAGTAGTGATTTATAAGGCAACTTCTGTGTTTACTTACAGCTAATCTTACCCATCAGGAAAGCTATACTTCAGTGAATTTTTTACCTGTATTGTTGAGACATATTTCATATTTATATTAATTTTTAAACATTCATTTCAAAAAGCTGCTTATGATTGTTATGAGTTTATTGATGTAAGGAAAACCTTGAAGAAAAGTTATTGAAACTTGAGGTATGTTTGGAGATGGAAAAGGAAGAATGTTCACACATACACGTTCCTTGGCAGGAGTTTAAATGATTCTCTTTAATAAATAAATAAACTTAAAAAAAAAAAAGGAGGACCTAAAATGTGCTTAATGGAAACAAATCCTAAGTTATTCTTCTAAATGAAAAACAGCTTAGTTCAGTCATTCACTTCAGCCACTTGCATGGTTAAAAACGTCCTTTTGTGAGGCACAGTTCCAAAGTGTGTTAAAATAGTCAAGGATAATATTTATAGTTCCTGTGCTGTGCTGCAGTTGGATAAACTCCTTCAGGAAATGAATTTGCAGAGTTTGCACAGGTTAGGGAGGAGAGGAGTGTTTTTGTTTGACCTGGGCCACCAACAGTACCTGTTAAGTAATACAGATTTTCCTCCCCAGCTTTAAACGTGAAAGCAAAATATTTGTATTGCTCTCATGCTAACTGCGAATTGTTATTAGTCAAGAAACTTTGGTTAGTAAAACGTTGAGTCTTCTTTTTAAAGCTAACCCTGAAATTTCACACTTTGTAGCAGCTTAGCTGTTATCTAAGTTCATTTCTGTACGAGCGTCAACTAATGCTTTAAATTGCTTTTGTAGGGGGCAGAAGCCATGGTTCTGGAAAGTGTTATGTTTGCCATTCTTGCAGAGAGAGCTCTTGGCCCAAAGCTGTATGGAATCTTTCCACAAGGGCGACTGGAGGAATTCATTCCCGTAAGTCCTGTTTGTGATTATTTAGTGGGCTGGTAGCTGTTTTAATTGATCATAACAAGAAGGTCCCTGGGCTGCCCAGAAAAGCAGGGATGTGGGAATGGAATACTTTGTAGCCTGTAGTAATTGTTAGCTGTAATTTGATACAATTACAGTGGGTGTTGGAGAGCCCAATTATAACTCTGACAGGGAGATATATCTCTTCAGCTGTAGCAGAGACTAATAAATGAAGATAAAAAGCCTATTAGACACTAAATATAGCATTGGAAGCTATGGAGTAACACTTTCCTTTAGCAGCAACAAGAGCAGATGCTTTTGATGTTTTTAAATATTTATACCCAGTCTGTTTTGAAGATACGCGTGTGAGATGCGGTGTTTCCCAGGTATTGATGCAGACGAGAATTGACTAAGTCATAAGCAAGCTAGGTTGGCTAACTTGGCTTTTCCAAAGACAGCAGTTTTGTAAGTTCATTTGGGATAAAACAGTGTATTGCTTGAGTACTATGCCAGTATTTTATACTATATAGAGACTAATGCTAGTGTTCGATTAACTACGATTAACTCTATTTTAAAAATACTATATATTGTTACAGAGCAGGAAACTAAGTACTGAAGAATTAAGCTTACCCGACATATCTGCTGAAATAGCTGAGAAAATGGCTAGATTTCATGGGATGAAAATGCCATTTAATAAAGAACCCAAGTGGCTTTTTGGAACAATGGAAAAGTAAGTTGCACAATTCTTTGAAGTGTGGAAAAAGTATGACGTGTTGCAATTTTGATATGCAGCTCATTCTTCCAGAAGAAGAATCTTCCAGAACACAAGCTCTCACTGTACGCAGAAACTGTTTCATAGTTACTTGAGGAGCTTAAATTACCTTGAAGAATAGTAACATTTTCTTTAGTAACTCTTTTTAAATGTTCTTGATTTTTGGTTTAAATGGTTTCTTACTATGAGAAGACTAATTAATATACTTATGTCATAAATGCTGCATTGTTGTCTCTGTTTTTAACAGGTATCTAAATCAAGTGCTGAGGATTAAATTTACCAGAGAATCCAAAACTAGAAAACTGAACAAACTCCTCAGTTATAATCTCCCCCAGGAAATGAAAAATCTAAGGTAAGCTTATTTTGTCTACCACAATCTTCCAATCTGCACAGTTTCAGTGTGACTTTGTGTACTTGTTCAAAGACATTAAACAGTACAATACCCTATATTCATTTTACTTTACAAGTTGGGTATTGTTTTTGGTTCTGTAACCAACCTGAGTCTCATATGACTACAATTGATATGATCAGTTGCTGATCTGACTTGGTGATCAGTGAAGTCCAGCTTTGTTGTCCTGATCTTGGGCTCCTAATTGAGAAAATAGGGCCTTGCTAGAAATGCTTCAAATTCTTACCACAAGATCTTTCTTTGGAAGTGGAACTGAACTTAGTGATCTGTTACTTATGAAATCCTATATTGCTGTTTTCTAGAGCTATGCTTGAAGCTACTTCATCACCAGTTGTATTTTGCCATAATGATTGTCAAGAAGGTAAGCTGCTAATATTTTATGCACTATTAGGCCTTTTCTGGTCACTTGTTTGCTTTGAGAGAAGGTTGTCACATTATTGAGGTACTGCCCTGGCAGCTGACCTGAAACAGCAGCCTGTGCACTCCCAGCGTGCTACAGTTGCAAAGCGAAGTGCATTGGCTTCAGCAACTCTTCAGGCTGATTAAGAGAACATCTAGTATCATAACTGGATTAAGCCAGTTACTGCAGGTCAGTTGATGATGGGAGCCTTGAGTATTTTCTGTTACCTTTCTTAGCTGTCTGCAATATACATGATAAGGATACAATATACTTTAGTCCTTTTAAAAGAAAGATACAGGAAAAAAATACAGTGAATGATGACAATGGAGACTAGGGTAGTTTGACTCAGCAGTTCTCAGCTTGTACTGGTAAGAAACATTAGGAAAAACCTTATCTGCCTTTTTTTTAGTGCTCTCTCTGGGAGTCATGGAGGGAATAAGATTTTTTCTGAGCCTGTTCTTTTAAAGAGATGGAAAGGAAGCAGGTCTGAAAGTATTGGGTGTGCTGTGTTTGTGCTCCCTGTCACCTCTACAGTGGGTAAGCTGAGCTGAGCTGGAAGGATGCTGTACTAGGACCATATGCAGGGTTGTTGTGTCAGAAGTCCCGGGCTTGTTAGCTAAGGCTGAGGAATTGGCCTGGAAGAGGATTGCCCTGAAGGATAGGCACATGAGGAGAAAAAGCCACTGATCTGAGTTGTGAAGAGCTAGCTCAATAGTGAAGTTTGAAGTCTCATTGCTGGTGTGGCAAGGTGCAGTACTGGAGGAACCAAAGCTCGTGCTGGACTGCGGCAAGCTTTGGAACCTGAATTTCCAAGGCGGGTGTGGGCAGGATGCAAAGTACTGTGCTTGTTCTGTTGGTACAAGAGTATGGCGTAGAGAACAGATGTACCTGTGGAGAGGGGACAGACTATTATAGAAATTGTAATTACTCTAAATTTGTTTACTAGTTGGCATGCAGCAGAAGCAGACTTGATGTCTTTCAGACGAATTATAGTGAGAGAGTTGAAAGGCAGTTAATGTCCTTGTTATAAAGGAAAAGACTGAGCTTTTCTATAGGTACCATTTGTGCCATGTATAAATTAGCAAAGTGATCAGCCTGTGGCTTTCAGGCTGCTGAAAAACAGTTCCTGTCCCAAGTGTTGTGTGATCAATGATAGTGCTATGCAGGCATGGAGGATGCTGCATAATTTAGATCTCAAGCTATAGGAAAAAAACTATTCAGCAAGGGCTGCTAAGGCTCACAGTGTCACCTGAATTACCTGCAAGCTAAATGCTGTAGAAGCAGGACTTTTGGGAGCACAAATCTACCTCTGCCTGTACAGAAGAAAACTTTCTTGCTTTCAGCTTTGCAGGTTTTATAGTACATATCTCAGCTTTCAATGAGCTGATATACAACCAGTGGTTTTTCCTGTCATTCTTCTGTGCAAATACAAGGGATAACTGGGATTATCAGAGCAACATTTCTTAAGGTAGAATATTGTTTTTCTGTAGTTTTCCTGGGATTTTACTGAATATACTGTATTATCTTCACATTTTCAGGTAATGTCTTGCTTCTGGAAGGCAAAGAGAATTCAGAAAACCAAAAGCTGATGCTCATTGACTTTGAATACAGCAGCTATAATTACCGGTAAATTACTTGATTTTCTATTCAGCAGGAAGGTCTATTACTTTCTACATGCTACAGTGAGAGCAAGTGCTGCACTGCTGATTATGTCTGTTCTAGTGAATTGCTCTGTTAGTGGTGGAAAGCAAATCTAACTAGTTGAAGCACCTCTGGTCCTGTTGGCGTTGGGTATAGGCATACAGCAGTCAAAGCTGTTGGAACTGGAACATAATGGAACCCTGAATTCCAGCAATGTGAAAGAGGGATAAGTTAAACACTTTGAGTGTGACCTCTTTGCCTGCAATAATGCTAACATCAGAGGTGTGTCTGACTCTGTGCTGAGATGTAGTGGATACTCAAGTATTTTAACCGTCTCCATTGGTATAAAACTTGGTAGCAAGGTTTAATATTTTCATGTAACTGGTAGCTTTCATTCTTAGCTGCCCATTTTTACTATTAATTTACTAATTGGTTTTAATAAGTTCCAAAAGTTGTATTCTAATCATCAATTCTCTACCTCCTTTAGCAAAACCGCAGTAAGTTCTAAGTAGCCTTGTGCTTTTACACTCAATCTTAGGTTTGCTTAAGCACAACTGGATTGCTAGTATGCAAATATTGAGGTACTCAGTCTTTATCTCTTTCAGAGGATTTGATATTGGAAATCACTTCTGTGAATGGATGTATGACTACACATACGAGAAGTACCCGTTCTTCAAAGCTAGTGTTCTTAAATATCCTTCAAAGAAGCAACAGGTAGGCACATAAGACATAATTAATAAAATGACAGTGTCCACAGTCTTCAAATCTTAACAATCTCTTCCAGTTCTGTTTTGGACTTACTTTATCCCAAGACCTTTCCTCCATGACTTCCTTAAATATAACACTTTCTGTAATCCTGGCTACCTTTGCTTTAAAAGTCACAGAAACTTCATAGTAGCTACTCGGAATACAATATTTACTATGTGTCATGTAGCTATCCACCACAAAAAGTTCAGTAGTTGTGGACTGCAGCTTTGAAATTAGTTGGCAGTAGCAAAGCGTCATCTTTTGTCCTAATATCATGTTTTTTCTTAAACCAGATTTCCAAGCAATTAGTAGAACCACCATTAATGTTAAAGCTAACTCCAGCACTGTTTGTTTGGAAAAAACAAATGACAACTTACTAAAAAACCTGCCTAGCTCTGAAAGAAGCAAATATGTCTTGAGGCAAAGAGTTGTAACTCTGTTTGTTGGCATTCCAGCTTCATTTTATCTCCAGTTACCTGTCTGCATTCCATGATGGCTTTGAAAATCTGAGCAATGAAGAGAAGTCCAAACTAGAAGAAGAAGCATTGATAGAAGTTAACAGGTAACTTGTCTTTCACAACTGTATCTTGAAACTTCCACTGTGATACATATACTTTTATACCTCACTGGGTTGAGAAACTTCAGCCAAGAGAGATTCTAAGCTCTAAGATTCTAAGCTCATATGTGGTGAAGAAAAACCTGTCCATTGTAACCTCTAGATGTGTGGTATATACTATTATGGAGTAAACAAAATACTACTGCATTGGGAAGCTAATGGAATTATTTTTATAGTGTCATACTTGAATAAAAGACATGTACTTCTGCAGATTAGGGAATACTGTTCTAACATACTGAAATAAGATGTTGTGACTTAGCTGGATATTTCAATGAACATAGCCTTGTAATTTCAGGTTTGCCCTTGCATCACACTTCTTCTGGGGTTTGTGGTCTATTATACAAGCAAAGATCTCATCCATTGAGTTTGGTTACCTGGTAAGTTGTTTAGTCGTAGTTTCATGTAATAAAGAAATGTACACTGTAAGTAACCTGTGGTGTATTATCAGAAAGTCAATTAAATGACCTCTCACAGCAACTACTATCTTTGAAGTGGAGTAAAACTTTTAAAAATCAATTTGTTACTAGTCTGTGTTCTTTCCTTAAGAATGCAAAGAACATCCAAGATCATAAACTTCAGAAATTCTTCCCATTTACGTAGAGAGACTATAGTGTCAGGCCTTGCGGTGAAGTGATTCTTCTGCAGTAAGAGATCTCATGCAAGAGGGAAGCTAGTCTGCAGTGAGTGTGAATTTGGAAGCTGAGTAGTAAAAAATGTAATGACCTCTTGATATTCAGTGTGCAACAATATCAATACTAGGTTGCTGCTTGTACTTGGGAAACAGCTCAGTCTAATTCTTGATACATTTTTAGTATACTGTGAACTTTAAGGTACACTGACTATCCTAAAGAAAGTGTTACAGAAGCCATCGTTTTTTGTTTGGTTTTGTTTTGTTTTGACATGCTAGCAGCAGCTAGTAGTGTTAGAGTTTAATTAGATTGAGGAAATTTTAAGAGGCCAGAACACCTCTGGAGAGATTGTCCTTCCCAAATAGAGCTAATTAATGCATTGAGATGATGGATTAGGAAGGTAACACAGTTAATACCTTCATTATGCTTCTCCATCCCAAATAAGAAAAATAAGCTGGTTTTACTGTACTGAGTACTGAATGTTCCTTATTTCTGCAGGAATACGCATTATCCAGATTTGATGCATACTTTGATCAGAAGAGGAAGCTGAAGGTATAAATGTGGGAGCCTTTTGGTTACTGTATGAAGAGGGCAGCTGGACAAAACTTATACTGTGCTTAGGCTACTGTATCTCTAACAAAGATGTCACTGAATTCCAGTTCCTTGGGACGCAAGTGTACAGTACTGAAGACTGTCTAAAAATGACTTGTTTACAGTTTCGTAAATACTTGGAATGAGAATGGGAGGCAAAAGTAAGATACAACAGTGCAATATCTTTAAATCTTTCTGATCTAGAAGATATTTTATATTATGGGAGAAGCTTACGATTAAGTGTCAATACCACATGCAACAGTGTTACTGTAAGCACATTTTCTGGGGGATGTTGTTACGGTTTGTTGTAAGCAGAGCAGTTGTAAAAGATTATTCATTGTGGACGCTGCCTCTTAAAGAGAAGGGAAGGTGAAGGAGACAAACTGTGAAGTAGGCTTAAAATCTTACTGTGAGATTAGGTTCAGTATGCCCCATGAACACTATCTTCAAAGCTGCTGATACGTTACACCACTTTAATCATAAAGCAACTAAACACATCGAAGCAGTGTGCTTTAAAGTGTTACCTACGTATACATGAATGTTTCTTTTAAGCTGGTGTGCCTGTGAAGTATGAATGAACTTTGAGCTGGACATTCTGAAGGAGATTGTCTTGAACTGTTCATTCCACATCCTTCGAGAACTTACTTTAGCCCAGCCTGATTGTTTCTTAAAATGCTGTGTCCTGCACAAGGAGCTCTGTGGGCTGGTAGCACTGGGAAGAGTGCCTTTAATTGCTCTAGCAACTCCCCAGATAACTGGATTGGCATTGACAATACTTGTAATTGGAGCCCGTCTCTCTTCTTGCGTTGCCACAGTATATGGCTGTAAGAAATAGTAGAGCCAAAGACTGTGGAGAACACTTCAGGAAATTGCTGTTCTGCCCATCCAATGCTTATGTGGCTTGGGAGGTGCTTTTATTGCACCTTCAGTTTTCATTACGTTCCGGCAATCCAGTAAAGTGGAGCATCTTGTGGGGAACAATAACGTGTATATTGAAACTTGCATATAATCTGTGTACATGTCATCGGAAAGATTTGTTTAGATTTTTGGGAACTTGTTTATTTTGAATGTTACTTGTTTGTGCTTTCTAACACACTATTATAAATAATAAACTTCTAAGACTACCCTTTTTCACTTGTATAGCAAATACTGTTTCAAGCAGCTGAAAAAATGTGCAGCATTTCATGTACTGTATAGCGTAACTTGCAAAAGCTGTCATTTTATTCTCAAGTATAGAGAATAATTTTCCATACACTCAATTACTAATACTTTATAATAAATATAAAGCACTTAAAAAATCATAGCTGATATTCTTAAGTCTTTGTTATATTTGCAGGATAAAAATAGATGCTGTTTCTGGCCTTAATCTATGCTGGAAATACTTTCTTGTATTAGTCTGCTCAAAGGCAGACAATTTTAAGCTGTAAGTTTAATGCTGTGGGTTATACCTTCTACTTAAATGCATCTATATATGCATCTATAACTGAAGAGTAAATAGAAAACATGGGGAAGAAAGGCGGTTAGAGCAAGTGATGAAAAATGGACTGAAGATGAGTTTATAGTTTTAGAGGCAGGAATAGGTTTAGCTTTAAACACTTTATCTATCCAGTTAACTACTCTAAAAACAAAGGTAAAAGTTACCAGCATGTATTGAGTTTTACTGTCACACCAGATGAATTATTTGTAGTATGAATAGCCAGGTAATTTATCTGGGCTACTGAAGGCTTCATTTAACAGGCACTATTGCACACCGTAAAGCTACTGGGAATAGCAGTGGTAATGAAAGAGGTGGAAACAGTTTAGAATGATGCTTTGCAGCTAGCAGAAAAGGACTGATACATGTAATAGGTATCTTGATTCTGTAGGAAGCCTTGTTTTACAAGGGTAAGGTCAAGTTTCCAAGAAGTCCATGGAGACTGTCCTCTGACTCATCCCTTGCATTTAATGCTATTCAGAACTGAAAAGGGAAGACTCACAGTTGCACAAACTTTTAATTAAAGGTTGCATCAGATGTGAAACCCTTTCTTAGATTTGAGATAGCTCTTGGTAAACAAATTCTGAGAGGAAACTAAGCTATAAAGTTCCCTATCGAGACTGCTTCAGGTAAGTCCCAGAACTGCAGCTGCACTCCAGCATTACTGCTGTGATTTCTGAGGGCGAGGGGAATGGAAGGCCCTGAAGGAAAGCAAAGCATGCTGCTTGTGGCTTTTGCAATGTAAAGTTTTTAAAAGGGTGGGATTCCCCCAAGTGTTGTGTGGTTGGCTTAGTGAGGACACAGGTAAGTCAGAACTCATGAGCAGAGAGCAATGCTTAATCTCTTTCTGGTATGATTTGTTTGTAGATTTGCCTATTAAAGGCAAGTTCTTTACATTTTCTTCCTTGAGAACTTGTAGTAGAACTGAACACAGTTTTTTCTTATTCATAGTCATTGAACATTAAAGCTGACATAAGCTGACCAAGCATTTCTTTAAATTTATTGACACATCTGTAATGGAAAATTGTCTGGGTTTATTGTCACACTGTCCATTATCCTATTCATAACAGTGTAAATATAGTTCTTTAACTTCAAAATGGTTATAGTTGAAGTAATGTCTATCTGATTTGTTCTTCTTAAAGGCAGTCTAAAACTGATTAATCCTCCTTTCAGTTGATTTGTAAATACAACTTGTACTTGGGCTCTTTCTTGAAAATTGCTGGGTTTTCCACTTAGTGGATTCTTGTCTTAGCATCCACATTGCCTCACAAGTATCTGGTGAAAGGATCTGCTATCAACTGGTGAAAATGTGATTTTTGTTTTAAGAGTTAAAAAACCAAACCCACCTTTTACTTTTAAAGGAAACTATCACTTGTGTAGCCAGACAGCTAGTTTCACTTTGAGGTGATTCAGTGGGTAAACAGCATAGTCTAGGGTGTATCCCCATCACTCCTACAGCCGTTTGTAGAAGATGAAAATCTGAATGCTCAGGCTCAGGGAGAATTGTACCACTACAGCTCATTAAGGATCTAACCTTGCAAAATTCAGCCTGTGCAGTCTTAAGGCCGTAACAGATGTACTGCCATTGTTCCTTAAAGTGAAAAACATACAGGTATTTCTGGTCTGAGCTGGATACAGTCTGTTCATAAATTAAACATCTTTTGTAGTCATGATGTCAATAAATAGAATGAGGCTATATTTTTAGAGTTGCTGTTCTCTTGATAATTAATTAGGAAGAAGGTTCCAACCCTGCCCTCTGCTGCTGCTAGAGAGGAGAAGCTATGATGTAGCAGCTCCTCAGCTTCAGGAAGAGACCTGCCAAGAAAAAGCAGAGGCACAGCTAGACCCTGATACACAGATTAGGATCGTGCATTGAACTGTTGTGGCTACGGTGGCTGTTTTAACAGTGTAGTCCTAGTTTGGTGTTGCTTGCACAGAGTTGCAATATTCATGTTACCCAGAAATGTATACTAATTGCTAAAGCAATTCCATTTGAATGGTGTAACACAGGTAAGTCAGGAGGGATTGTCTGTGTTTCTCATCTAGTGGTATATATGCGTTTGCATATAGAATTTAAGTGCTTTAGTGGAAGTTTTTATCTACTGTAAGAGACTTTGTTCTGGTGTCTCTTGCAGAGGACATGAATTAACCACATTCATGGTTATCAATTTGGAAAGGGCAAGTGTCAGGAGGAAGGAGCCAGGCTCTGCTCTGTGATGTCCAATGACAGGACAAGGGGCAATGAGAGCAAGCTGGAGCACAGGAGGTTCAACCTGAACATGAGGAAAAACTTTTTCCCTGTGAGGGTGGCAGAGCATGGCCCAGGCTGCCCAGAGAGGTTGTGGAGTCTCCTTCTCTGCAGACATTCAAAACCCGCCTGGCCGTGTTCCTGTGTGACCTGGTCTGGTGATCCTGCTCTGGCAGGGGGGTTGGACTGGGGGAGCTTTCGAGGTCCCTTCCAACTCCTGATATTCTGTTATGAAGGCGGCAAATCTGCTATGCCTTCCCTCAGATCTTGCTCAGTACTAAAGTAAGAAGACAGCAGTTCTCTTCTGTTCTAAGGTGTTTGTAGTTGAGTACTCCTTACTGTGAAATAATGTACTAGCTTCCCTAGTTAAATATTTAAAGTAAGAAGAGGGGAAAGGTGGATTTTAATACCCGTGGTTGTTTTTTTCCTTCGATTTGTTTCAGCTGCAAGAGACTGAGCATCAAATGCCTCCCTTCTTGTGAAATTGTTAGGACCACAATCTGTAGACACTTCTGGTTTATCTGCTTGGACAGACCAATTCTATATGCCATGAGAAGAAGTGGGAGGGGGGGAAGGCCTGGCAGCTCAGTCCTTAGGTGTCCTTGGCCAACAGTGGAAGGATGAGCAGGGGACAAGTGCACAGTTGCTGCCTCTGTCAGAGCTAAAGCAGTTTTTCACCTGCCCGCACATGCTCGGTGCTAATTGGGTGGGTCATGTGTCAGGGAACACACTCTGCAAACAGCAACAGTGGTGAAAAGCAAGAGCAGCCTTTGCTGTCCATGTGCAACTCTTGGTCTTTCCGCCAAAGGCACAGTGAGAAGAAGCCGAGATTATCAATATTTTCACCAGTTACTCTTTAAGAACTGTAGTAGTTTTCCACTGCTAGGTTTTGTCACTTAAGGACTGGAAGCTGCCTTGTCAAAATTCACCATGGCTGTTTGGCGCTTTGAAGTGGTTTGAGGTGTGGTAGTGTTCTGAAAAGCAATTATCTGAAAATGTTACTTTGATTAAATGCCTCCCTTTGTCTGTGTCTCAAGATCTAATATCAATACGAACTTTTGTTTTTTCCTCCCTACTCCCTTGGCTGAGGTTGCACTACAGCTTAAATGGAATGAGTTGGGTTTCACTCTGTGAGATGGATTTAATTATTTACCCTAGCTGATTTTGGCTGTGGAAACCCCTCAAGGGCACTGGGGCTTTCAAGTCATGTTGTCTAAGAACACAATTTGTCCTGCAGTTCACTTAGCAGACACAATGATGGGTAGGAAAGAGCCCAGCTTAATTCTCTAAGAGTCTGTAAAACTGGGTGCTAAAGAATGCACCCTCTGACTTGCAAATAGAGGAGAAAGCAAATAAATTAAGTCCCAGAATGAATAAAATTGACTGTCCTTAACCTAAGTGCCAGCACCTGTGAGCTTACGTATTCTGCTTTGCAACTGCAATGCTGTGGATTCCTGAAGTTCTGCTGAGTGATGCTGTGTTTAAATCACAGTGACTGAATCTGCTGATGCCTCAAGA